GCGGTTCAGGAGTGAATAACCAAAATGTTGAAGTACTCGGAGAGGATCTTATTCATGCTGAGATAGCATCAAGGAAATCTTTCCTTTGACATACTGGCAATGCCTTCTGAGAAATTACTCTATTCCCAGCTCTTTATGGCATTTAACAGCAATGAACTGTGTCTTCTGTATGAATAAATTATGATGTCACTTTGTTTTATGAGTTAAGCAATATCTTCTTTGGTTATTTATGTTACTGAACATGTGACAGAAAACTAGAAACAAAGTGATTTTAGATGCCTTCTGCACACATAACTCTCGTGCTACATCCAGAGAGCAAGATTAAGATATATTGTTCAAAAAAGTAAAAGGAAAAGAAACTAGAGGTGAAATAACCTGAAGAAATCCTCTTCCCTCGTCATGTTGCTTACTGCACTGTGTTTTCATAGCATCTCATCAAGATGTTCTGCCACCATCATTCTCTTTTTCAAACATCCTATGACAGTTTGCACTCACTGGTGCACCTTGTCTCTTGATCTCAAAGCCACGTACAATTATATTTAATCACAGCTTTGGGAGGGACGAGGTGCTAAAGGATCATCACCAAGGTCAGACAGGGAAGCAGTGGCAAAGCTGGGAACATGTTTTACTGATGCTCAGTTGAACATCCACCCTAATAATAAGTATTAGAATTAAATGAAGTTAAATCTTCTTTTCCTTTATGCTCATCCATTTCTCTAGTTCTATACTACAGATCTTTACTGTGTTTTTTCCCCACAGGAAATTCCCTGGGTTTAGCACCTGCATCTGTGCTGGCAGATAGATTTATGATTGTTGTCTTCTAAAAGGGGCCCAAATCCAACTGCTTTATTCATGCCGACAGTCATATTGGTTTCAAGGGGAGTAACTGCCTGAGGAGGATGAACAGGATTTAACACAAAGTCAATAAACTGAACAAGCACTTACCTTACAGCCAATAACAGCCTTTGCTTATCTCCTGGCCCAAGAATGTCTCTTAAAACAGGTGCCTAAATATCATTCTGCACAGCAAGTATCTCAAAAATGAAGCCACACTCTATGGGCAGCAGGCTGAATATCTCCTATGAGGTACAGGTGGGAAATCCACTTGGGTCCCAGCCTCCTGCATCCCCTTTGAAAATTCAGGTTGTATGGCTGGCATCCAGAGTCCTTCAGGCAGGGTAAGTCTAGGCCAGTTCAGGGGACGCCTTCTGTACAGCGACCAAAAGATTTGAATATGAAACTATGAAATGTAGTGTCCTGGTTTTGGCTGGGACAGAGTTCATTTCCCTCCCAGTAGCTGCTGTGTTTTGGCTTTAGTACAAGGAGAACGTCAATAACACTGATGTTTTCAGTTGTTGCTACGAAATCAGGGACTTTTTTCCAGCTTCTCATATTCAGCTGATGAGCAGGCGTGCAGGAGCTGGGAGGGAGCACAGCCAGACATATATCCAAGCTGGCCAGTGGAAATATTCCATAGCATGGGCGTCATGCTCAGTTTAGGATAGGGGGCTGGCCAGTGGGCAGGAAGCTATCGGCTCTTCTCATTTCCATGAGTTCGAAACCTGTCCTGGCCAGGAGTTCAAACTTTTCTGGGAGTTTGGTCTTTTGGGGGGGGGAGGTTTGTGAAATTCACAAAATTCACGAGTCTGGCATTCCACAATTGCTGCTTGGGGACTGACATGTGAATTGTTCATCGTGGTGAGAAAATTATATTGTATATAGTTTGTTTTGCATATTCATTATTATTATTAGTAGTATTAGCATTTCCTTTGTTGCCTTATTAAACTGTCTTTGTCTCAACACACGAGTTTTCCCTTTTGTCCGTTTCTCCTCCCCATCCTACTGGGGTGGAAGGGGAGGGGTGAGCGAGCGGCTGTCTGGTGCTTAGTTGCTGGCTGCCAGGTTGCACTACAATTTGTGGTCAGTTTAGACAGGCATTCATCTTCTCACAGCTGTTGGGTCCAGGGTAGCTGCACTGCTCAGAGCACTTGTTTTTTCCAAGGAAACCAAAAGACATTGGTTGCCATCTGCCCTGGTAATGCTCAGGCAGGAAGCCCCTCCTAGGCTGGGTACAATGAGCCTACACTGGGAGGCACCTGCACCCACCTTCTGCTTTGCTGCTCCTGCTGTTTGCACAGTTATTTGAGTAACAAAGAGATCGGACGACAGCTTTTACCAGGACACCTTTGGGACTTCGATGGATGCTAATCAGTTGCTAATAAAGATGGTCACTTGTAATTAAAAATATATATATATCTATTGCATATTTAAAATAATATACACCACATCTAATCTCTGCAGCAATACACTGTTACACAGATAAAAAAATTACAGGTCAAATACACTGAAATAATTGGGGACAGGAACATTGTCTTGAAATGATTGAACAGTGTGTACAAGAGGGAAAAAGGTTCTTTTACTGTGGCTAGTTTTCCCTGCAAAGTCAAAAATGCATATCTTACACGCTGGGAAGTTTAATGGGGACGGATGCAGGACTGATGTTCCATAATTATTATCTGAACCAGATTGTATTTTCTGATTTCACTTGGCATGAACAATCCAGTGTAAAACAGCTGTGAAAGAATTCACAGCACTGGTGAGCAATGAGAAATTAAAATAATTACTTTTTTACAGATCGAAAGATTAAACACAGACACTGAAATAACACTAAATTTTCTCGAGTAATACATCTTCCGGATGTCACTTGGATTTTCTCGGCAACATAAGAATAATCATTACCCTTTTATGCCTAAAGGCCCTGATTAAGTATGTTCTTAAATTAAGCACATGCTTGAATACCCTTCCTGGATGAGGATGTTTTCTGATTCGAGCCCAGTTACCATCTCTCCTGTGGCACGCAGTTGTAATTTCATGTCCTTTACGCAAAATGAGTCATGTTGCACAGCTTTTCCACAGCCAGATACTGTCCTCTGTAAAACACTGCCTGCTCTTGTTCCTCCCTTTGCCAAAAGGCAGCGCAAACCGGGTGAC